TTAAATGATTATATAACTCTGAAAAGGCTTAGAATTAACTATAGAAATGACAAGCTAAATCAAACCCATAGTACTGATGTTATTTAGTATTAACCATTAAGTATTAATATAAGACAATCTGCATGTGTTTGCTATTTATGTTAAGTGCAATAATAGTAAAGACAGAAATTACCCTCTTAAGAGAATCTCACAGATTACCTTGTGATTTCAATTTAAAATGTGGCATTGATTTTATACATGTGATTTTACAATTGAAAGTATTAAATACAAGAGAATCTTGTAAAATGTATGAACTGCAATGGTCGTGTTAAGAGAATTGTGCTGCAAGTCTGTCCTGTCAGGCTGCCAGGTCTTCATGAGGGTGTCCCTGGGCCACACCAAAATAGATAACCGGATGGATTTGATCCATGGACCATAGATTGCTGACCCATGGGCATAAAATTTAAAAGGATATTAAAATACATAAATACAAAGAGTAACATAAAATTAAATAAGCTACATTTCCAAGGACAGCTCATGAGACTTCGTGTGGATTTCCCTAGAAACATGGTTTCCAACCCATGCACCAAGACCCTTGGGGGGACTCAAGGTCATTGCAGGAGGTCCTCAAATTCATTATGCATTTTATAATGGGTAAAAATATTACCATCTATTTTACAGGGACTCAAATTTTTTAAAATTCAGTTTTCATTCAAAGGGATCTTCACAGAGGAAAGGTTGGAAATTTCTGTGTATTTCTTAGTTTTATGTGTGTATTAGCACAGGCTGTTGGTACTCAGGGTAATGGCAGAGTTTGGGTGTCCAAGGGCTGTATAGGAAACAGAGGAGTCTGGTACCTTTGTGTGCATACGTGACACAGTCATGAGTATGGAAAGGACTTGGTAAGGTGACAGAGGGGTAGAAAAAGTTATGTACTTATTTCCCTGCCCTAGACAGGGAAGCATTCCAATGACCTTCCCCACAGGCTGGGGATTGTATTTGTTTTTATGGCCAGGATTCACATGACACTTTAAACAGTCCAAACTGTATTGATTTCAAAACAAAGTATGGACAAAAATCCAAGGATTTACCCAGAGTTCAAGTTGGAGAACAGAAAAGGGATTGTTTAAAGCCAATCTGGGGCCTGAGCTGGAGAAACCAGACAAGGGAATGAGAGAGAGATGGCCCTGGGCCCTGGTTCTGGCATAGGCCAGTGACCCCATGAAAACTCTGTTCCCGTATCTGTAAAATGGAAATAACACTTCTTTGGCTTGAATAAATGAATGAATGTAAGCTGCCTAGAGTAGCACTTTACATCAATAGGTGCAAGTGTTATTCATGTGCATTTACTCTCTGATCCAGCAATCCCATTTCT